GCACAAAAAGACTGCTCGTATCAGGAAGACACCCTAAATTTTTAGACTTCGCTTTCTTTCACGTATTTAAAGTAGTGTACATTTCAAAAGAGAGCTAAGAAATTTAAAAAAAAATGGAAAAACTGTTAAAAAAAATTTACAATTCTGTTTTGAAAATCAATCCATCCCCCACACCCCACCCCTAAAGTGATATAACTAGCATATAGCACATCGATAATTTCAATACATAGCATTTTGAGTTTGGATCGATTTCGATGCCGGATTAAATTGCCGCTAACGCATTAATAGCCTGGAATATATAGCGCGTTAATTGTACGTACGCTTAGCCAAACAAATCGGCCAATTGTTTTTATCTTTTAACTCCACGACAGTCAAAAACTTTCCGCCATTTTCTCAGAAAGTTGGGAAAAGAAAAAAGACTGCAAAATTGTAATTTTGAAAAAAGCAGCCATTTTGAAAGAATTGCCCGAAACGTTTTCGTACGTTACTCTCGGACTGCAGATGCTCATTTTGAGGAAAAATACCAATTACGACTTCTGCCGGTGTTGAATAACCATGAGTACCGAGCCATAATGGCGGTAACTTAGCTGAAATTTCCTAAACAGAGGCCAGTTGGGCCAAAAAATTCTTTTCATATAAAAATTTGAGTTTTCAAACATTTTGGAACTCAAAATGCCAAATCATCTAAACACTCGCGCGCATAAAAAACTGATTCACCAACAAGCGACGCGATATGGGTCACCAATCAGGTTTTACAAATAAATTGACAAAAATTCAGCCGTTTGCTCACAAATCCTGAAGTTGAGCTTCAAACATTCCCTTGACCAAAGAAGCAGCAGAAAAATGAGAAAATCTTTGTTCATTTTTTTTGAAAATTTTTGCATTACATGCTGAAGCCATAACATTTAATACTATGTGGGCATCAGCGTTTTTTTTTGAGGTAATGCGGAAAACGCTTCCTTTAACGTACACTTTACATTAAGATGTCACGCAGTAATGAATAAGCTAAATAAAGCAGATATAGACATATCATTTGCAGTTATTATCGCACTAACGATGCTCATAACTTAATATTTAAAAAGCGTTTTTCCTTTGAAAAAATTGATTGATTGTTTAGTGATAAGCTTGCAATCTGGCTTGTGCAATCGAGCAAACTTATCCTTTTCTATTCAACATCCACATACTAACATTTTCAGTGCAACAAAACAAAGAAAAAATTTTTCTTTCCACAAAGTTGGCCTGGTACTATGATCCAACCTTTGTTTGATTTCAAAAAACTTAAATGATTCTAAATGAGTTAAAAAGATACGTGCCATTTTACTTTGTGGCTCTTTGCTGACTCTGTGGCTCTTTGCTGACTCTGTGGCTCCACAAATATATCATCTCTAGCTAGCACTTAGCATGACTGGATTCAATTTCTCCAAACTTTGAATTGTCACGCCAAAATTTTTTCAATTATAGCCAACAGGTGTTTTAAAAAACTCAATGAAAACGTCAAAATGAGCAAAATGTTATCTGCTTAGAGCTTTATAGTTTCAAAAATAATTGTTGGTGCACATTTTTGGTGGTCATCATTTTAGGTAGACATGGAGTTCAGAAAAAAAACAGAACAGAAAAAAACTAACTCGAGTCTGGTACTAAGCTATTGGAATCAATTAGCTCAACTTAATTTTGAAGATTTTTTGAACACACCGGAGTTCGAATTCATTCGCCGCGTTGAATTAAGTGGAGCTTACTCGTTGATCAACAAATGATAAAAATTGAACCTTTTCAGCAAACTGCCAATTTTTTAAATTCGTAGTAAATTTTTTAAAACCAATCAGGATCTCAATATTTTTTTTGCGTTTGAAGTTAGGACATTTTTATCTGAACAAGGTTTCAACAAAAAAACTAACTTCATCAACTATGTTGAAGAAGGTTGCAAAAATAAAACTAAGTGGTGAACTTAAATGGGCACTTTGAATGAGCCTGAGAACTTCGCAAGCATCTGCGTTTTAAAAAGTTTACCCGAACTGAAATAAAACAAGATCATTAGGTAATTTCTATAGCTCTAAAAAATCTTAAAATAAAAATCCGCTTAAGACAAATGTTATTCATATTTTGAATAAAAAGCGTATATTTGCACTTTTTTAGCAGAAGCGAAGCTGCAATCGGCGGACAGGCAAGAAAACAACAAAAAATTTTGATGTGCCAGAATCGAAACTCTTATCAGCAGATTGGGATGTTCTCGCATCTGCGCCACGACATCCTGACAACTAAGACTAAGTGCCAATAAAGCAGCAAGCTGCAGTTGGTATTAAATTGCCAAAGCTATGCAGCAAAAGAGTCATCAAATAAAACAAAAGATTTCAAGGTGCCGGAATTCAACGTTTTATTACGAATCTCAAGTCCGCTTATTTCGCCACAAACGCCACCAAATGAGCTATTTGATTTTTGCTGTCGGTTCGAAAAAAATTACTTCCTAGAATTACTTCGCATCTGTTAAAAGCGTACATAGTTTGCAACTTAGCAATAGAATTTGGTGTGAACGAAATGTTCATTAACAATCTGAGGCTAATTTAAATTAGCAAAAAAGCAATATCAGTTGCGGTGTTTTTTATATGACTTAACTAGAAAAAAACTCATTGTTATGGCCATTGAAAACAAACAGGAACTTTGTATTCGGGCGTTTTTTTTCCCACACAACAGCAGATACCACAAACAATCAGCGTAATGGGTGGAGTGATTTATCAATAAAAAACATTTCAGATGTGTTTCGAATATTGAAAAAAAATTTCAAAAAGCTGTCCTTGTGTCAAGAAGGACAGTTTTTTTTTAATTTTTTCAAAATTTGTATAACTTTTAGAAAGTTAAGCAAGCGCCATTTTCGGAACATTTTTTAAAAATTCAGTACAATTTCTGCAAAATTGAAAAAAAATTAAAACTTTTTTTGCTCTAGCCTACGTTTAAAATGTTATGTTTTTTTTTATCGTCATTGATTGACAAAAACCTGGCTCGGTTTGCCTACTGTATTAATAAGCCTAATTTTTAGGTGTTCGGCAGATCCTTTTGTCATACCACGCAGAAAAAAATCATACTAATTTGAAAAAAAAACTTCTTATCTTTTTAAGAATATGGTCGACTACTGTGACACAGCAACCGGCTATCCTTGTTATCATGTGAACACATTCGTTTTCTCAAATTGGAATGAACCGGGTTTTTATTGCCTTAAGTATCTGAGAAAAACTGGACTTATTGTTGTTTTCAGACGGATTTAAATAATTTATCTACTTTTTTAAGGTTCGTGTAGCCGCAAAATAACTCGTGCAGACACAATTATTTTAAGGCCCTTTCGGTGTTGATTCCAATTTTTTTTTTTCAAAAATAACTTCCCAGCCCACCTTTTTTTAGCGATAAAATCCTTTTTTTGAACAATCAACAGGAAACTTATTCCCATGCATGTTAGATTTTGAATATCTCGAGAATCAATCTTTTCACAATCGTAAGTTTGGTTGAAGTTTTATCTAGTGAAACCTCCTGGTGCCCGTGATAAGAACAAAATAGTTACGTTTTAACGGTTATGTTCTGTAATCAATAGCCAACAAACAGTTGTAAAATTGTCAATCATGTTTTATCAATGTTTTAAGACTTACAAAAAAGTAGAAAGCTAATTCTGTAGCACTTCAAAATGTAACTTTAGGTTAGAAAAAGTACAGGCTTATGTAGGTTTACACAGAAAAATTAGATTTGCATTTCTTTCTTGCTATGGCGAACTTAAGCTTAGCATTTGTTCATTGTAAATTTCCAAACTAAAATGTTGCCTGTCAATTTTTTTGATAAAAGATGTCACATTGCAGCCTCCCGGAGATGTAAAAAAACGCAGACTTGACTCGCATTTGAAAAATGCTCTCTAGCAAATCAATCCGGAACAATCGCTCCTTTGGTGGGACGCTAGGTTGGGACTAGGGGCTGGCAAATCCTTTAGACATTGCGCTGTATACCGAGTTAAAAAAATTGACTAACTTAAGATGGTTCGAACAATTAGTTAAGTTGTACTTTAATATGATTGGCATTTGAAAAAATAATTATGATGGGCATTTGAAAAAAAATTGTTTCAAATGATTGGCATTAAAAAATATTGGCATATGAATTGCCTTTAAAAACAAAAATTGGCATATGAAAAAAAAGTGATTGGCAGAAGAAAAAACTTAGATTATATTGCTCAAAATTTTGGTCACAACGAGTTTTCATTCCATAATTCATTTAAACTCAGCCAATTAATCTATTATTAGCAAGATTATTTTCAAGATCAAGTTCAATATTGGAGAAATCTAGTCATTTTTGTTTAATAATTTCAATCATGCCGATCGGATTAGTTTTCAAATTCATATCAAAGTCTAAACTATTGGCAAGGTCATTTCTGTTCAACTCTAAACCCTTAAGTACGAATTCCTTAAAAGTAAGTTTCACATTGATTCTAACAATTGGTATTAAAAGGGGTTAAATTGTAGTGGGGTTATCTAATTCTGTACGTACGTCAATTATCTATTTCTGAGTACTGTACGTATTTGGCTATTCCTTGAAATGAGTGGCTCTTAATATTCACTAGTCCTACACTCTATTTTCAAGTTCCCTATTTTCCGTTTGACCAATGGACAATTAATTGTACGCTGTTGCACCGGCATGAGGTTAAGTTGAATGAGCGCAGACCGCATACGGGACTCCAGCTGCGACATATTCTCCAGGTGTCTTTTATCGGAATTATTAGCCTTGCTGAAAAACTAGTCGTAGGGTGCGGTCTATAAAGTGAGGTATGATTACCTGCTTTTACCTAACTGTTCTTTTATGATTTTTGCAATAATTACTATAAATAATGTGCTCGAAGAAGCCAGTACTACTAACACAGCAATACTATTTACCCAGTACTACTTGCTTTTCTCTACTACCCCATGATCACTGTTCATTTCATCAGCATTCAATTCTTTTTAGATATTCATGTCACAAGAGAAAATTTTCCGGGATGGAGATTGAATTGCAGTTAGAAAAATAGCAACTCTGATCAATCGTAGCTTATGAGATATTACAACAACAACGACGACCTACATAAAGTACTTCTTAAGTGTAGTGTTTACAAACCAAACGAAATGTATCTTATTGCACAATTAGCAGTATTCGAATCGAATCATTAATCAAATTGGTTAGGAATGAGAATAATGAGCTGAGCTGAATGATGACATTTACATTTCGACATTCATGTGCAGGCTATGTTTTCAATCAAAAATGTATTCGAATCATTCCATCATTACAATCGCACGCTGCATTGAGTGGTCATTTTTTCTATTATGGTAACAGGAGGGATCAACATTTAACAATAGATTTAACAAACAGCATCGCCAAGGTATAGCATTTAATTCTAAGATGTACAGTTCGACTATTTTCAACTAATTATGCTCCCGGTAAGTGACGAAACGAGAGCACTATGTTGTTGTGCTGATGCAACTGCCGCCGAAACAGTGCTTTGCTGAATCGTAGACCCTATTTTTCTGGGCGCGTCTTTTGTCAATGACTGTCCATAGGTATCGACAGTATCAATTACACAGTTTTGCTTCGTTTGAGATCCCAGTAGATAGTTTCCTCCCATCTCGTGATCTATTCCCCCATTGGGAATTCGAGTGACCTCAGACCTATTGTTATTGTTGACTGTACAGCCTAAACTAGATCCAATACTACTTTGATTCATCAGCCCTGGTATAGACTGTCCAAATGCCTTTTCTCCATTAAGAAGAAGTGCAGCCGTGTTCGATCCGCGTCTGTTGTAGGACGCAACGCCTGGTGAAACCGACGCCGCATTTACTTCATTTGGACATGAGAAAGGAACTCCTACCACAGTTGACAATTGACTCCTTCCGAGCACTACTGAATCTGTAATTGTCCGTCTCTGCGAAAGAGGAGCGTGGGTTTCCCTGAGAGATTTCGGCATTTCCGGACTTTGAACTACAATAGACCCAGCTTCCACCTTGCATAGCCCGCCAAATCTAGAGAGACTTTTCATTGAGCCGTCTCCATTTGAAGAAGTTCCTATCGAGCTTTGTCCATTCGCTAGTGTGTTCTGATATGATATGTTAGGATTTGAGCCCTTCTCTTTCTTTATATTACGTTGTAGCAAAACTACGCTCTCTGGCGCTTCCTTCTTTATAGCACCAACATTCTTTTCAGCTGAGCTGGAAACTTTGCCAACTCGCTGGCTAGTATGTGTGTCGAGGGTTGGATTACACCAGGTGTATGTTGCCAGGCAAGTTGACGATGCATATAAGGATGACGAGACTTCTGTAGTTGAATAACTACCACCATCTTTCTCATCACAGCTTGGTGGCAAACTCTGATGCCGTTTAGCAGTGGGCAAATAAACAGGTCTAAACAAAAATAACGAACACATTATTTCAGTAAGGGACCATATAATCGTGTTCTTATATATAGTGAGATCAATTATGATTCCAAGATGATAAAGGAAACCAGGAGCGGATCTAGGAATTTCTCGAGGGTGGGAGGATTTTCAAAAAATTTTTGAGAGTTTAGTCGACTTTTTTTTAGGCCGACAAAAGGTTTTTTTAGGTACTTTTTGGAAAATTTCGACCAAAAAAGGCGCTTTTAGAAACTTAAGGTCAGTCAGCCAAAAATGGATATCTCAAAAATAAAAAAGAGGGACCCTTTGGGTTGGCAGGGGGTCGAATCCCTGAGGGAAGGGGGTATCAGCCCCCCCCCCCCCCCCCCCTAAATTCGCTACTGAAGGAAACTATTAACTGCCCAAGATTTATTATCATAGAATATCAACATGTTACGCACATATCTATGGGATACTCTTCTGCAAATTGTGAGTAGGAGTGATCCAAGAAGTGAGACCATAATTCGTTTGGCAAGCAGCGAGTATCACCAGGAAAGGACATCAGCTCATTGATCTTCGAAGGATCTGATTTTCTTGTGTCTGTGGCGACAGAGGGTCTGATTCGGTCAAAAATAATCCGACCTCCCCTTCCTATCCGTCTCCGGCAATAACCAATGTTTCTGTTGGTGTCAATGAACTGATGTATGCTCTCTGTTTGTGTTGTATTTGTTTCTTCGGTAGAGATATTTGTCAAAGAGTATTGGTGTTCTATGTTTGGCAATGAAGTAGCATCCAACACTCCCGACGGCTGCAATAAACAACCTGCTCATTTAATCAAAAAACATAGCGAACATGGGAACACGTCAACAGAACATCTATCCGATAGACAAAATGTTACGTCAATGATGTTTTCAGTTACTTTTGAGCGGAGCTCAAAAAAGCAGAAATGTTAACTTGAAAAAAAAATTGACCATCAATTTGAAACCTAATGAACACAAAATTGGAATTTTTTCCGTACTTCGCAAATTTAAGCAAAAAGCGCCCTGAAGGAACTTTCAAAATGCCAGATATTAAATTATAACCAAGAGTGTTGGAACACAGGCGAATTAAAACAAGAAAAGGCCGCTAGGTCAGAAAAAAATCGAAAATGTCGAAAAAAAACTAGATCCATCAAAAAATGAGGCTAGTTTTCATATTAAAAAAATGCCAAAACAATGGAATATGAAATAAGCATCGGTGAAAAATTTACCATAAGGTAACAAAGCCGAAAAATTTGGTCACTAAGCCGATAAAAAATAGGCCGAAATCATTTGGGCAGAAACAAGTTCTCAAACAAAAAAAAAGAAAAAATAAAAAGTCGAGGTTAGTGAAATTACAAACATCAGAGGTAGATCAAGAGCACTAAAATGTTTAAAAAACTTTTAAAAAATCTACAATATCGCTTCTAAGCCGACAAACATCAGCAGATAAAAATAAGCCGACAATTTCTTTTTAAACGGACTATTTCCCGTTTGAAGAAAAAAAACAGGTCCTGTCAGATTTTAACCCAGGACCTTTGCCGTCCCAGGCGTATTCTTCAAGAGTGCCGGCTACACAAAAAAATTAGAATTAATTAAGAACTGAACCTGAATTTATCATCGCAAGAGTAAAAAATATCAATAAACTGAAACATAGCCAACAAACAGTTGGAAAAGAAATAATGAACGCCAACCAGAAAAAACACTGACTTGTTTTTCAAAATCTCAATTTTCGAATTTCAAAGAAAATAGATGCCCTTAAAGCTCTTTGAATTTCTGGAACAATTTTTGATTGGCCATTTTTTAAAATAAAATTAACCCAATTTCAGAAAACTGGATGAATAAGTTAAGTTTTTATTTCGCTGTGATATCTGAAAAATAAATTCCACTTTCGAAACTAGAATTTAATCTCGTTTTTTGTGGCCTTCTTTTCGACAGAGTAAATGAACTGAACTTAAGAAATAAAAAGTCAAACGGTCAAAAAAAATTGAGCCTGAAAAAAATTGACTTTTCTTGAACAAAAGCAATCATCCCGACTTCTTTAAGAGCCTGAACTACGAACTTAAAAACTGATAATGCTTTTTGAAGCAATTTCAAAGAATAAAATATTTGACCTCAAACCTCTGAATTTTAAGACTTCTTTATAATTGACACTTACAAATAAAATCAATCAAATTTGCGAAAACATTGATCAATGAGAGAAGCCTTTATTCCGCTGGGAATTCTGAAAACTGAAGACCATTATTGAAACAGTCATTTTTGAAACAGACAAGCGACCAAATAGATTTCACAAAAATCAATCCTCAAAAAGATTAGAGCATGAATACTAGCGAGAACACAAACAGCAGCTCTATAAAGCGCAATAAGAAAAGGTAGAATTAAGCCTTGAATTAGTAAAATTTCGGCTACGTCTTGGACTCGATCTGCGACCTAGCGATTTTGAGTCTCATGCACTAATCTCTCAGCCACGGATGCTTAAAAAATCAAACACTAGCCACAAATAAAGCAGAGAACAAATGCTACGCAATTTTCAAACATACAGATTGTGATGATAGCAAAAGTGCTCTCAATTAAGTGAACACTTTAAGTTGGGTTAGAAAAAAAGAAGGTTCGTACTAATACACTACGCTCGCAAACTCTTTTGTGTAAACGAGGACACGCAACCAAAATTATTGAATGAATTTAAAAAACTTGAAGATAAGAACCTCGGGGCCAAAATCAGTTAGGCTTTTCGGTTTTATGCGGCGCATAAAACCGCATCTTAACGCATAATGACACAGGTATCTTGTGATCAATAGGCTTCACAGCCTCTGTCAAACACATAACAAGCTTAACGCATAATAATCTGTATTTACAAAAGCGCATCATTACCCGCATATTTCTCCGTAATGATGCGTATACAGAGTGAGTCACGCTAATTGTTCCAAATGCTTTCGTAGAAAATGACGGAATATTTCAACTCGGAATGTTTTTTTTTTCTCAAGACAAATTTCGATTTTATAATTAGCAATTTTTGACGGAATTTTTTTCTATCATCCGAAAATTTTTATTGTCCTGGTCTCAAGTTTAAAAATATTTCACCTGTGATTTCTTTCCGTAAAGTTATGGGGGTTTAAATGTTGCTTATTTGGGACAGTTAACGCGCATATTTTGAGTTTTTCCCCGCATTTTCATAGATATCTACCGGCTTTGCATACCGCATAAAATTAACAAATACCCCGCATAAAACCGAAAAGCCTGAATTAGAAAATCAATATATACTCACGGCTTGGTAGCACAATACAGGGTCACGTTTGAATGGAAACTGTCTCGAAATCAATTTAACTGTTTCGGATTCTTCAGCTTTACTTGGCGCTGCCAACTCTGTTTTGACCTTTTCTCTCGGTTTATTTACTTCGCTATCACGCCGCGTCTTTTTTCTCTTTCTCTCAGGCAGCTAAATAAATCGAAGTCATTTCCACTGTTTTGGATTTTTTTCAAATTATCATCCCCATATTTATTCAAACTTACAGAAGTTGAGTCTGATACATGATGTTTGAGTCCATTGATTGGTTTGAGCTGCTGCTTCGTCTTCACTTGGGCTCTGCTCTCCATTTCATTCTTCACCAGCTGCAGAACTTCGCGATACAACACGCTATTAAACTCGTCTGATTTTTGCCTACATTGAACCAAACAACAATTAAAAGTTTTCCTGAGAAAAAGGTATATAGTGCGTTTGTCATCGAACCAACCTGAGATTGATAATGTCTATTTCTGTATGCAACAAAGAATGCTTCGAGTTTTCGCGATCCTTCATTAATTCAATAATCTCTCTAAAACACGAAGATGTTATTAAAGTGTCTATGATATTGTTTCTTTTTCATGGGACAGAAAGGAATTAGACCTACAGCGCACGATGGAAATCCTTCCTTAGTCGCAACATCTTTTCGTAGGATATTTCGTCATTTTTGCGGTTCTTTCTCGTTTGAACTCGGTCCATGCGTCGACGGAATGCGACATAAGGATCTCCTATGAGCTCCCTCCGGTCAACTTTGACAACTGGGAGAAGCGCTTGCCTCTTAAAAAACATCATTGTTTTTATTGGGATCGCTTTAAAACCGGGCAGAATTTTATCATTACTAGCATACCCAACGCAAACGCTTGGCGAGCCAGTAATCATAAACTTGCATGATGATATCGTCTTCTCCTTTCAGAAGGGCTTTCGCATCGACTGCGGTTGTGACCTGCAAAACAAACATTTTCGAAATATTTCAAACCAACTTTTTAATGTAAATTCCTCCTATTTTCCTGTCCCACTAGAAAAACGAAAAAAATCGTAGATTTTTTAAATTAATTTAATTGCAAAACTGAATTTTTGATTCCTTAAATAGCGCTAAAAACTCCGAAAATTAACTTTACTCGAGTAAAGTTGAAATTTCACCAGGGTTGGCAAAAAAGTGTTTTTTTTAGAAAAAAAACGTTTAAAACGTTTAAAACAAAAAAAACGTTTAAAACACTGTTTTTTTTCAAAACGTGTTTTTTTTTTCTATATTCTCGTGAGAAAAAAAAATGCACAAAAAAAATTCAATTATCTTTGAGTAATCTGGAATAAGGGCAATCAATTTCAGTGCCAAGTCCAACAATTCTTTCGCAAAATTCCCAATTAAGGCCTGAAACTTGAAAAAAAAACACAAAAAAAAAAACACATGTTTTAAACACCAGTTGTTTTTTTTCTGCCAACCCTGAATTTCACGGCTTAATATAAGCGTAAGGCTATTGTAAGCCTGTACCGCTCACCTTATTAGACCAAACCGGTTTTTCTCGACACTCGAACTTTAATATCATACATCACTCGACCCATTACGATGATTTTTTGTGGTACCTGAAAATGAGCTTGATATGAGCTTCTCATTAAAAAAAAAACGAATAGCTCGACCTAAATAAGTCAAATTTTTTTCAGACATCAATATTTTAAGTAGCCTATCAAATTTAGTTTTAGGAAAGAGAATTTAAATTTTCTTTCAGTTCTGTTTTATAATCGATCTAATGTTAGTCGCTATTCATGTTGCCCTTTACCTGCTGCCCACTGCTTTTCTCTAATTTTTCCATCATTCCTTCGAACTCGCTTTTAGTCAAGGCGGGTTTTCTATCATTGGGTGCCAGAAAAGTTGAATACAGCCAGGATTCATCTTCGGAGTCGGCATCATACTCATGGAATCCCTCATCGGAAAGTTTTTCTAAAATTTAACAATGAATGAACTTTCGGCAAAAAAAATACAATCAATACAAATAAAGTTGGCATTGTTTTCGGAATTAGTGTTCTTTTTTCACTAAGTGCTTGAACGCCACTAAATGATCTTTTTGACTTTCTGCAGTCGGAACTACATAAGTCCTATGTCTTCAGGATGCCAATCGTTTTTCGGACGCGGAAGCTAGAGTTAAAAGCAACAGAATCGTTAAAATTTATATTAACAAGGCGGACAGGAGACAACTTTTTCGTTCAAATGTCTACGATTGCACTGAAACTATTCAAAACTTAGTCAACAGAGAGTTGGAAATTTATCAATCAAAACAATGAAAATAATGTTTTAGGACAAACCTTAGCTTTTGAATTAAAAAGAAAAAAGTATGGCTTTAAAGCTCTTTAAACTTCAAAAACATGTTATGAATGCCATTTTTTTTGTTCAGCTATCCTATTTAAAGTTAACCGGATTATAGGGCATTTCTACTATTCCACTGGTAATTCTGAGATACTCAGTCCATTTTTGAAAGTAGAAATTATTCACGTTTTTAGCCACCCAAACTGACTGACAATTAAAACACAGAGGTGAAGCGGAGCTTCGCACCACTTGCGATACTACACTAACATAAAATGAAAACAAAAAAAGCCAAAAATGAAATTTTTTGCAGAAAACTAGGTCATAAATTTTCATATGTCTCGATAGATGTTCATTCCAGGCAAACATGCCGGACACTGAATTTTAAATTAGCAACGACGAAACAGAATTTACGAAAAGAAACCTAGCGGACAATCATTGAGCAGACACAAGTTGAGCCGAAAAAAATATGATTTTATAAAAGAATGTTTAAAGTCCCAACTTAAACAGCAATGGACAACAATTGCACTTGCAACTACAATGAAAGTTGTTTACAGCACAAGAAAAATCAGTGATGTGGCAACTAAGCCAACAATCTTTGAGCTGAAACCACTTTAAAAAAAAATTTAAAAAAATCGTTCCAGTCCCCCTTGAATCTAGAATGAACATCACTTGCACATGCAACTACAAAGTTGCTTACAGCTAAAAAAAAGGTCAGTAATATTGCAACTAAGCCGATCATCTTTGAGCAGACACCAACAAAACCGAAAAAAAAAACATTTTATTTTAAAAAATTTTAAAATCTTTCAAGTCCCCTTGGAAATTAGAATGAACAACATTTGCACTTCCAACTACAAGAAAAATTGTTTACAGCACAAGCATAAGCCGTTGTGGCAATTTAACCGACAAAACCTGAGAGAAAAAACGAAAAACCAACAATTCATTTTTCTCGGAACTTTTTTTTCAATTTCCTTGATGCTGAAAAAAAGTAAGACCCGGCCACGACTCGAACCCCAGACCTAAGGGTACAAAGACAACTGTTTTACCTCCAGGCCAAGGAGGAAGCAACCTGGCTAACGGGGAAAACTCTATATTCCAGTTCGATAATGCTTGCTTAGCACAGAATGTTCCGACAATAGTCTTTAAAAAACTACAAGATAAAGCTTTTTTTTTCAAATTAGTTTTTCTGCTTGGGGTGAGAAAAAGTCTGATGTAAAACTATACTTATGGCATATTTGACATTCATAGCAATACAGGCAAAAAGGCACACACATTTTTTAGAAAATTGACTAGAAAAATAAAACTAAAAAAAAACTTTTTTTTTCAATTTTATTTGCAGTTTCTGGTTCTCAGAATGGAGCTACAACTCCCAAAATGGATTTTACTTGCTTTAAGTTAAAATTTTAGTGCTTAAATTTTGAAATTTTCCTGATTAAGCTGTTGTAAGCCTGTTCGCTTGTTTTATTCGCAGGAAGTACGACGAAAAATCAAAATTTTAAACCGGTTTTTCTCAACACTGGGAAAACATTTTCAAAATTGTTTAATGTCGTTCGACTGAAAGGGCTTTAATATGATATATCACTCAAACCCACTCCAATTATTATTTGTGGTAGCTGGTTTTGCGTGGAAAACAAAAAGAAAAACTAACACCCGAAAGTAAAGTTCCTCCCCATTTTCAATGGCCGGAACAATATAGAAAACGATCGTGATGAATTGCTATTTACTCCATATTTTCAAAAAAATTATTTGAGCTGTTACGAGTTAGAATTGGTTAAATATGTATAAAACTATTTAGATACATTTAAAATCGTTTTTCACCGAATGGTTGAAAAATGGGGAGGAATTTTGTATTTGGGTGAGTTTTTGTTTTTTCTGTGTTTTTTACGCAAAATTAGCTACCACAAGTAATCATCGGATAAAATTTAGTGTTATATCATATTAAAATCCTTAGAGTCGTGAGTCGATCGACATTTAAAAAAATTCAAAAAGTTTAAAGAGTCGAGAAAAACCGGTTTGAAGTTTTTGGTCTAATTTCGAGCTAATTAGTAAGGTTTATTAGTAATTCCAATAGCTTAATTAAGCTTAATTTAAGCCGTGAAAACTTAGTTTTAATCGAGTAACGTTCAATTTGTGAGCATCTAATCGACTTACAGAAATGAAAAACTTCAAAACTGTTAGAAAAAAAAGAAACTTTTAAAGTCATTTTCTGAAACAATGTTTTTCAATTTGCCTTTTTTACTATGACTGTCGAATATACCTAATCTATAGTTTTATCGAAAACAACACTAATTTGAAAAACCTTTATGCACTTTTTAGACTATGGTCGGAACATTCGGTGCTGTTTGTACAGTAACCGGCTAGAATGGTTTCAATTATTATTTGCTTCTGAGCCGTTGGCACATCAAACTCCAGTTTTTTTGTGATGGTTTGTGAAATGCCTTTAAACACCTAGGAAAAAAGACTTAGTTATGAAAAAAAAACGGTTTTACAGTAGTGCTTTAGACAGAGGCGAAACTGAGCCTGGCAACGCAAGTTTTTTTCGAAAAAAAAAACAACACTAAATTGAAAAACCTTCATGCATTTTTAAGACTATTGTCGGAACATTCTGTGCTGTTTGCACAGTAACCGGCTAGCCTTGTTTCAATTTTTATTTGCTTCTGAGCCGTTGGCAGATCAAACTCCAGTTTTTTTTGTGATGGTTTGTGAAATGCCTTTAAACACCTAGGAAAAAAGACTTAATTATAAAAACAAAACGGTTTTACAGCAGTGTTTTAGACAGAGGCGAAACTGAGCCTGGCACCGCTTGCGATACCGCAAGTTTTTTTCGAAAAAAAACAACACTAAATTGAAAAACCTTTATGCATTTTTAGACTATGATCGGAACATTCTGTGCTGTTTGTACAGTAACCGGCTATCCGACTGAAAAAAAAGAGCCAACTGACGGTTGGAAAAGAGCAATGATCGCAGGAAAAAATGTATGACTTTTAAAGCTCTTCGAATTTCACGAATTCTTTTTAATTGGTGCTATAAAGGTAGATAAAATTAACCAAATTTAAAAAAAACCGGATCAATGAGTCAATTTTCATTTCGAAGGATAAAAAATGGAGTAATTGATTTTAATTATCGAAATGAAAATCGATCACATATCTCTTGAACTTTACATTTTTTGTGAAATGTCTTCGCGCAACTTTCTCGCGTTTCCGAATACCTTAGTAACTGCTAATGCTAAAGAGAAGTCCGTTGATTAATGGTTGAAGTTCGAAGTCTGCTAGAAAAAATGAAAAGTACACTTCCAAAGGGTACTGGAAAGGCAGAACAAACTGGAGAAATGATAATTTTTTTATTCTGCTATAAATTGCAAATTTTCGGCTTTTTGAAACTAGAAATTACTCACGTTTTCGGAGACCTTTCACTTTTGCTGTTCGATAGTAGAGTACGCCTTCCTTTTAGCAAAGGAAAGGATGTGAACTTAGAAAGAAATCGAGAGCCTTATCGCGAAAAACCAAAATTGAGCTAGAACTAATTTTAACACTTTCCTGAAAAAACACGAAAAAAATAAGAAAAATCTATACACACCAAGTTTTTTACACACTGCGTTCAATACTCACTACGTTCATTATCTTAAATATGTTTCAAACAAGTTTAGAAATATATCACGAAACAGCCTGTACTTTTTTGGAGAAATTTATTACCATGTGTCACCTACTTCCTGGTCTTCAACTGGGTTTCGGTTACATCCTTTGTTTGCGCTGTCGCAGCGACAGGCTGCCAAGAGCAAGTTTTCGATTCTTGAGATGATCTATGGATCCTTGCAAAACCAACTGGATGTGGAAAAAGCAGTTGACAGGGGAAAAACAGGACATTTTTAAGAACTCGAAAACTTCTCTGGTGAAATTAGGGGTTGGGGGCATTTCACACGAGTTCCTGGAGCAATTTTAGGATACTAAATAAAGTATCCCAACACTTGAGTTCCGGTAGTAGGGAAACGTTACGTGAATTCCGGTGGGATAGTGGATTAAGTATCCCAACACTTGATTTCCGGTAGTGGGGGAATTGTGCACGAGTTCTTGGGATAGTAATTTAAGGGTCCCAACACTTGAAACCTGGGATAGTAATTTAGGGGTCCCAACACTGGAGTCCTGGGATAGTAATTTAAGGGTCCCAGCACTTGAGTCCTGGGATAGTAAATTAAGGGTCCCAACACTTGAGTCCTGCGATAGTAATTCAAAGGTCCCAACACTTGAGTCCTGGGTTAGTAATTTGAGGGTCCCAACACTTGAGTCCTGGGATAGTAATTTAAGGGTCCCAACACTTGAGTCCTGGGATAGTAAATTGAGGGTCCCAATACTTGAGTCCTGGGATAGTAATTAAATGGTCTCAACACTTGAGTCCAGGGATAGTAATTTAAGGGTCCCAACACTTGAGTCCTGGGATAGTAATTTAAGGGTGTCCCAACCGGGACTTTTTGAAAAAAAAACATATGGTGTTTTATACGTTTGAAATATGTTCTTTTTTGTATACTTGGATTTAAAAAAATTTAAACCCCCACCCTGCTGCAAGCTAGCAGTCAGAAAATGAAAGGAAAGCCTTATTAAACCAATTTTCTCTTATTCGAAAAACAAACAAATTTTCCCTGGAAGGCTGTTCGATTTGAAAAACACGCCCAAGAAACAGAAGTTAAGTAATTAATGAAACATATATAGAATGTCATCTCAGCCGACAAAATTTGAGCATTGAGCTACAGCTGAGCCGATAAAATTGTTGTCATGAGGCGTCAAAAATTTGAGAACTTTCATGACGACGCGTTGCCCATTGCGGAAACGCTCAAAAAGATAATCATGTTTTCGAACATTTTTGGAAAAGACAATCGTAAATTTTGAAAAACTTTGCTACCGAGGAAAACAAATGAGACATATCCAGGGCTCTGCAATTATCAACTGCCATCAATGGTTCTTAAAATGAATTGCCAATACAATCATTGGGCATTGGACCCAATTACTAGAAGACGAAAAAAAATCGAATCAAGTTAACAGCCTCCCTCCCCTCAGGTCCAAAAAATCGAAAACTCATTTGTTGATTGTTCTTATGTCAATGTACGACAAAACTTCCCTATTATAAAAACTTCAACGTCTAGCCTTTAATTGCATTGTAAACCATTCATTAAGCTTCTTGTTCATGTGTTTCATTTAGCCTCATTGTTGTGATAAACTTATTAAATAGATTTGTTATGTTTGATGTTTGTGCCTGTTTGTGGAGCACGCTCTGAGGTATTTTAGAGACAGGTCTGTCAAGTGACTTTCTGTGGGGAGGTGGGAAACTTTAATCGTCTTCTATTTAGTTTTTTTTATTTGCTGATTTATGAAATTCCCACTAACCGCTTATTAAGGGTTAGTTCAGTCCCCTAAAGTCCAGTCAAAATCCTTCTTTTTACCTTTATGCTGCGTCAAGATGAGGAAAAACAACAAAGAGTGTACAAGCAAAGATTGCTTAAAACCTTCAGGACTGATAAATTGGATTAGATGTGATTGTTGTTTTAGTTGGTATCATATCAGTTGTGTAAATATTTCTCTTAGCGACTCTAAGAAAACACAATGGTTTCAGTGTCCTTTATGCGTTGATGTAAAATCGGTTAATAAAGCAACAATAGGTAATGATTTAGTGCTAGACAATTATGCTAATACTAGACAATTATGTTAATACAGCCATCTCAGATATCCGAGTACTCAAGAGAGTACCAAAAGACTCGTGTTCCCTTGGCGGAAAGTCTGTCGGACAAAATAAATGACATTGTCTACAATGTAGAAGATATTACAAAATAGCTAATTTTTTTTAATGTCGTTCTTGTTTTTTTGGAGCAACCGAAAAGAAGTGGACGCAAACAGACCACAAGCATGAGCTCTTTGATAAATAAAAAAAATTCGAGCAAATGACGTGTCACTTCCAAAACCACATCCCCAAGTTTCAAGCCCGCCTCTGAGTGACCTCGAGCAGAGAATAAAGCTAATAAGTAGTAAGCTCGATGAAGGAAATGTAAAGGGAGGAATAAGGCTTGCTGCTTCGCATGACAAAATTGCTCCTTTTTCAACTGATAACTATCAAAAATTGTTGTTTAAGCACCCTCAGCGAGCCAAATTTGCAGCTCCAAATCCAGAAAATTTGGATAGTTTTTTTTGTAACCAATTTCCACCTATACAAAGCGATAATGTCCTTTCCGAGCGGATCAGCAGCAGGTCCTGATAAAATAATTCCTCAAAATTTTAAAGATCTTGTTAGTAAGTCGAATGGCAGTGCAGGACTTAATTTTCTGAAACCACTTACTAAGCTGATAAACCTCATTGGATATGGCAAAATACCCGAACCCGTAAGACCTTTCTTTTTTTGGCGCAAAGCTTATCGCCCTCATAAAGATAGACGGAGGGTTGAGACCGATTGCCATAGGCAACACGCTGAGACGTATCGAGTCTAAATGCGCTGGAAGCAAGGCCATCTCCGAGCGACAAAATTTTTTCGGAAAAGTACAGGTAGGATGCGGTACCAAACAAGGAGCAGAAATAGCTGCACACTCGTTTCGAAACCTAATTGAACGCGACGACAATCCAAAATGCACTGTTCTTTTAAAACTAGATTTTAAGAATGCCTTTAACTCTCTTAATAGAGAAACAATGCTGAATCATGTTCATTCAAATCGCCCCGAATGGTATTTCTACACCCATTGCGCGTATAGTAAACCTAGCTACCTTTTTACGGAAGCTCTGTCATAATGTCAGAAGACGGAACTCAGCAAGGTGATCCTGAAGCCCCACCCCTTTTTGCGGAAACAATTCATACACTAGTCAAACAGTTGTAGTCGAAAATTAACATCTGGTATTTAGATGATGGAAATTTAGCCGACGACTATAAGGTAGTACTCCGGGACCTTAAAAACATTCTGAAATTGGACCAAATTTACGGCCTGAGCTTGAACACTGAGAAGTGCGAACTTTGTTTTTTGGGACCGACTACGAGTACAGTATAATTCAATTTTAACACAATTTCGAAAAATATGCCCAAAATAAAAACAAAAGAAGAACTCCTCATTTTAGGATCTTCAATTGGCGAACTTTGCCGAAAAAGATTGCTCGACGAAAAAATTAAGGAGCTTGAAAAAATCTCGGATGTCATTGACAAACTAGACGCCCATTATGGTTTTTACCTCCTGAAAAATTGCTTTAGCATGCCAAAACTCCTATAATTTTTGCATACAAGCCCTTGTTTTTTGCAAAATGATTTTTTGTAACGCTACGAAAAATTACTAAGAAATTCGTTATGCAAGGTCACTAAAGTGAAAATGGATGATAACCAGTTTTTACAAGCAAATAACCTCCTGAAAAATTGCTTTAGCATGCCAAAACTCCTATAATTTTTGCATACAAGCCCTTGTTTTTTGCAAAATGATTTTTTGTAACGCTACGAAAAATTACTAAGAAATTCGTTATGCAAGGTCACTAAAGTGAAAATGGATGATAACCAGTTTTTACAAGCAAATAACCTCCTGAAAAATTGCTTTAGCATGCCAAAACTCCTATAATTTTTGCATACAAGCCCTTGTTTTTTGCAAAATGATTTTTTGTAACGCTACGAAAAATTACTAAGAAATTCGTTATGCAAGGTCACTAAAGTGAAAATGGATGATAACCAGTTTTTACAAGCAGTTCTCCCGGCAGCCAAAGGTGGCTTGGGCGTTTCTTCCGCTCGTCTACTCGCTTGACCCGCTTTCTTAGCCTCAGCAGTAGGAGCGAAAGATGCCGTGAGCGAAATTTTTGGTTTTGAGCATGTGGATGGAACCTATGATGATGCGCTTAAACGGTGGTTTGAACTTGGAAAAATTGAAATGGCTCCGGAAAATGAAATCCAAAAAAATTGGACGGAGCCAATTTTTGACAGCGAAATTGCAGACTTGATTTTACGACTCGAACCAACGGACGTAAAAAGATTTAACGCGTTCGAAGATAGATGTGGCTCCAATTGGTTGGCATGGTCTTTCTTGCCTCAAAAGTGCAGGGAGATTCTCTAGGCATTCAAACCTGAATGCTCTTATAAAGCAGAGTTTATCTTCTACTCACATTCCGTCTGTTTTAGAACCACGACACCTCTACAGGACCGATCAGAAGCGACCAGACGGTTTGACGTTCGTTCCATGGGCTGTTGGTAAGCAGCTCTTGTGGGATGTAACGGTAGTATACTCCTTAGCTCCTTGTAGGATTAATGCCAAGCCTTAATTGTATAGCAGTGTTCTTTTTAAAATTCTTTTTACGAAAGCCTAGAAACCGTCAGCAAAAAATTTCACTGAGTTTCGCATTTACTGGGGCTAGGTCTTATACCAGACTACAATGCAATAATTCAATTAAGATAAATTTAAATTAGTGGGAGATTCGAAAAGGAAGCGGTTAGAACAAACAAAACTTCGCTGAGACACCTCGAAAAAATTGTCTTTAACCCCGCTAAATGCCGCCATTACATCTGTCAATTAATTTTGGTTAACGAGTCTGGTAAAAAGTCCATGTTATAACTTTTCTGGTTATCCCTTACCTCTAAAATGAATATATTGCTTCGAGCAGTCGAATTCTGATGAATACAACTCATGATAGTTTTCAACATCAATATTACTCTCAGGAATAGGTATGAATGAAGCTCGACATTTCGTTGCTTCTTTTTCCGATCGGAGGCCGAACTGCAATGCCGATAGGGCTTCTTGTAAATGTGTTTCCTAAAACAGACCATTCATACAATAATCAATTTGGCATTTCTTTTCAGCTTATCCAAAGTAGATATCTATTTCGATTCGATTGCACTTGGGACTCATGACCAAATAGCCTCTGCTTAAATGCCACTGAGCATGTTGTAAGGGTTTGATCTGAAAGTCGGCCATCTTGACTCAATCAACGACTTAAAGAGAAAACAAGTTTTACCTCTTCCTCCTCTTTCTCCATCCCGGTGGAGAATAAAGTAACATTTTTGGGTAAAAGTGAGCACTCTTCGAGGTCTTGTAAGTCTTCAGCTCGTATAATCGGAAGGTTTTTGTTTGAATCTACGTTGCGAGCTCTTATGGAGAGTTTACTCATAACGGCCATTGACGAAGAATATTCTAATTTGTGTCGTCATCTAGCTCGATCTAAAAAAAAGAGGAAACAAGTTTTTCTTTGAACGGTGTTTCAATTTATACAGTCCCTTTTGAAAAATTTGTCGTTATTCAATTTGGTTATCAGAAAATACATGAACACAAAGAACTATGAACAATCGGCTTTGAATTGAGGGCAAAGTCGGTTGAAAATCGATGACGTCATCAAATTTCATGCTCAGGCCAAAATTTTGTGAAAATCCGTTTCACAAGCGTTTTAATTTCTCTCGATAAAAAAAAGAAACAATTAGTAGCAATTGCAAAAAATTATAATAACAGATGATTGAAATTGAAAACTCTTTGTGACATTGTAGATGGTGACATGAACTGAAATTAAGTAAAATTAGATAAAATTTCGAATAGTGCAAACTTCATTTCTCATGCTGCATTAAAATTAATCTCAAGTTGATTTCTACCTCCCCTCTGGATTCATAATTCAATAATTGGCGTGAAACCGCGGCAGATAACCCATAAAAATCAGCCTCAAACTTCAAATCACAGAACTCCACAAAAATTCCATATAAGGAAACCAGTTTGGCCAACAGAAAGCGTAATAATACGAAAAGTCTCCCACACATGGAAAGCTCAAATACTGAAGGAAAGTTTCATAACAAAATGAAAAAAGGATTGTTAAAGGGTGCTTACCCTCGGAGCCGCATTCCCGGATAGCTGATAAAACTAAATACCTCCGGTTTTAATTAAATTAAATCAAAAAACTCTTCACTTAAATGAGACGCATTTTTATTGGACAAAAATTGCCTCAAAATGTTGCCTTAAATAATAATATGTGAATTCAACATCTCAATGAGACAAAAAGTGAAAAAAAAAAGAGTTTTTATTCAGTTCCACTTCCAATATCGGTACCGCTCATGGAACAAGTGTCAACCTGTAAATTTCCTTGACTTTTTGCTGGATTGTTCTGTGTTGTGAGAAACCGACACAAGTGTCAAGGTGCATATCTGAGATAATCACACAACCGCAGTACTTGCAACTACATGTCTCATCGTCCGCAGATTCGTAACAGCGCTCTTTATGACATAAAACATGATGAAAACCGTTGCTGTAAAAAATACCTCTTTCTCTCCTGTGCGCAGGACTACAGTTTTGTAAGCCCAAAAAAGTCATTATTGAACAAAAAATGCAAAATTTTGTGTGTTCTGCTATAAATACTTATTCCGATCCATTTCTTGAAATAAAACCCAGCCACTTTGGTAAAGTGTTCGTCTTTTTCCTTCTGTGATAACACATCGCTGAAAACATAGAGAGCGTAAGAAGCAGATGAAAATATGACGCTCTCATAGAGTCTAACCGAGGACTTAAAACAAATTTTTCTGAGTTGGACTTTGGATTGTATAGAGCAAGAGGCAGCATAGGCTTTTTTCTTGAGATGTTCCAGGTGCTTGGAACCTGTCAATTTAGTGGATAGCACTATGCCTAAGTATTCAAACGAATCCTTGAATTCGATTTCTGTGTTGTTGAAAATTAATTGGTCGGTCCTGGCCAGCCTTCCGCCATTTCTGTGTTTCACCACCTTAGTTTTGCCAACATTCACTTTGAGACTGTTTCTCTGGCAATATTTTTCGAGTGCAAACATTGCGTTTTTAACACTGTCAAGTTCGGTCGACCCAATCGCTAAGTCATCGTCGTAAAAAATCGTGAAGCAGCCTGTGCTTTCAAGTTCTGCAGATAAATCTGCTAAAAATAATGCAAACAACAGCGGTGACAACTTATCGCCTTGTGGAACGCCAATAGTCTGAGATTTTTCGGTGGACAAATACCCATCCGAGCATACTTGGATATTATTTTGAACATAAAGATTGTACAGAACTTTAGTGAAGTGTACAGGGAGGCCATTTCTCTGAAGCTTGGTGAAGAGAAGTTGTCTGTCAAGCTTGTCAAAAGCCTTCTCGAAGTCAACATAGCTGACGTAATACCTTTTCTTAGAACGGATTCCTGTTGTAATTGACTCAATTAGCTTTTTCGCGGCAAGTATGGTGCTCCTATCCTTTCGAAACCCATACTGCTTATCAGGAAGTAACTTTTGAAGTTCAACCCAGATACTTAACCGATTGTATAGAATAGCAGAATAACATTTGTAAACACAAGAAAGCAAAGATATACCTCTATATGAATTTGGATCCGTTTTTTCGCCTTTTCCTTTGTAGAGTGGTTTTAAGTAAGCATCTCGCCATACAACAGGACATGTAGCATTAGTAAAAACAAATATTGAATAATGTAACAAGGAATGAAAATACTAACCCAAAAGAAGATTTCAAGACTTCGTTAGTGATACCGTCGGGGCCCGCAGCTTTTTAATTGGATGAGTTGGCTACTACATGTGTTATTTCTGCTAACTTTATTTCACTGCTCATTTCGGGTATTCGCTCGCTCAATGAAGTTTGATAATCATGAAAACCAGTAATTTCAGCATTCTCAGGATAAAAGTTGTACGATACCAGGTGTCAGAACTGACAGCGCAATGCGCGATCGGTGGTTTTATGGTCTTAAGTATGGTCCAAAACTGAGATTTGTCAGACTCTGCTACGCTGAGGGTAAGTTCCTCTTTCGTTTTCTCATGAGACTGTTTCTTAGATTGGCATAATTTTTTGAATTCTTTTTTGTAACATGCAAACACACGAAGATTTTTCAGTATTTTCTCGTCTTCTGCAGAGATCCCATTGTTTTTTCAATTTTGCGTGGAGCAAATAACAGCTTCTGTCGAACCAGACCTTCGAGATCCGTTTCTTGGCAGCTGGAACTGACTCTCTAAATGCCGAGATGAAGCTTCCGTACCATCGATCCAACGACTCGACACACGGCGTGCTGAGGATTTTAAGTTTGTATTCTAGCTTTTCCAGATCGATTTTTCTGATATGAGCAGTCTTACTGTCAGCTCTTTCAACGTCGGTGTGAACTTTGAATCCAACGGTGCAGTGCTTTGTAGCAGAATTTTCTGTGATAGTCACATTGTCTGAATTTAGTTGTAGGTTGTTTGTAAACACTACATCAATGGCACTGCGGCAATTATGGCAGTAGTATGTTGGTGCCTGGGAGCTATTGAGACAAGCAAACCCTAATTCCCATAAGATATCCAATAAGTCAGTGCCTCTTTCGCCCCAATCCAGGCGACAGTTAAAATCTCTTGCAATGATCGTAAGCTCTTCCTTGTCGATTCTGGATAGTCCTTCGGATATGTCAAAAATGATATCCTCTAGTTTTGTACAAGGTTGAAAATACGATACCAAAAAGTTCATTTTTCAGTTTTTGACTTTCACAATAAGAACGTATTGGGATCTAAAAATGATGCAGCAATTTGATTGAATGTTTTTACTGATCGCAATAGCGATACCGCGTGACGGTCTTCCCACATCATGACTAACTGCTGGCGAAGAATAACAGGTAAAACCAGTTATTTCTGTGTCCTTTACGTCCATAGTCTCTGTTAAGAGTAAAAAGTCGTGGGATGTGACAAAATCATTCGGTTGTAATTCAAGTTTCAGACCCTCCACGTTCCAAAGCAGTGCCGATAGACAATTTTTCTTTGTAACTCGGTTGTGCTTGATAAAATGAACGCCATCGGGATCTTCCCGTCGCACAGCTTTCAATTCTTCTCTGAGTTTTTTGTTTTCAAGCTGTTGGCTTTTTGTCAAGTCTTTATTGATGTAAATATTTGTGTAATGTTCAAACTCCTTGAGTTTTTTTGCCAGTTTCAGGATGTTTTGAGCTTGCAGCTCTGATGTCAAAGAGACAAGTATCAACTGTTCTCCATTTTCGTTCTCTTTACCAATTCGTTTTGTACTAGTAATGTCAATATCTGTTCCTAAGTCTGCACTCAGCTGCAGCATGAATTCTTTGTCCTTCGGTTCGTCAGCCTGTTTGACTCCCCAGACAATGACGTTTTTCGCTTTCCGTTTCGACTCCGTCTCTTCCTTGCGAACCCCTTGTAATATTGTGCTGTATGAAGGTGCGTTGCTTTTAGGCGCTTCGACAGCGGTGATAGACGCTTGGAGTTGGTTCTGTAACTGTTCGATTGCTTTCTCCTGACTGTCTAGTTTCTCGGCGGCACAAAAACCGCAGTACAGTGGTAGTTTAAGGAAGTCCTTTGGCACTACCTTCGGTATCCAAACCTCAACCCACGCACCACAGCTGTCGCCCATCGAACATTTGAACCAGTGTGTTGCTCCTTCTTCTTCTTTAGCTTTTCTAACCATCGTATATAAAACTATTTAATAAGTTTATCACAACAATGTTGCCTTAAAGACAAAGCATCATGCTTAATATTGAAAATAATGTAACTTATAAAAGTAAATTTTGTAGAACGCAAGAGATTAATCTGGCAGCGCTAAACTTGTGTTGATAATTGAGTTAAAGGGTTATCAATTAAACCGTAAGTAAATCACGCCATAAATGAGCATTGCTTATTTCGACATTTAATTTTAGTTGAATCTCCAAAAAAAAAATTTTCTGTCTAGTTTTGAAAACAAGTTGACTTATTTTAATATCACGAAAATGTGAAGGCAGTGAGTTCCACTTTACAGAAGTCATATAGAAAAAAAATTTACTGAAGAAAATCGATGAAGTTTTCATAGTGTAGTTTTAAGTCATTTAGATTATGCAGCAATGTTTTTGGAGCAAACTAATGCAACTTCAATGATGTCCGAAGAAAAGCAGTTGAACTGGGCTTTGAAACGCACATTTTTTCGATCAAAATTTAAACCTTCTGCCGAACTATGGAAAAATAAATACCCTGACGAAATTGAGAAAAAAAATTGAGTAAAAGTGTGTTACATATCTATAGCAGTATCTTACTAACGAAAGGCAAGCGTTATCAAATGCATTGAGGCTACCGATGGCGAATTATAGAATAAATCAACAAAAAAAGCAAATAATATTTGATAACCACTGCTCTAATGCTTCTCTAAAAAAAAATTTTTTTTGTCATCTGACGTCCGAAAAATGGATTGGTTGCCCAGTAAATTACGAAATTTTAATACTACCACATCAACATTCAAAAAAAAACTAAAAAATTTTACATTACTGATGTGCCAGACCTAGCCATGGGGGCGTTCCTATTTCTAGAGTGAGGGGTATTTTGGTTGTGGCC